ATGGGTTGGCCACCCTGATGTAGTCGATTAACCAATAAGCAAAAGCTTATAGGTAATGCTGTAGACTACACACATCCCCGTCTTCCCCCCCAAAGTAAATGTTCTAGCAGGCTGGCCAGCAGCCTGGCTCAGTCCTGGCTTGCGACAGGTCCGGTGCCTACCCCTGCTGCAGCTCTGCATTGAAAGTGTATTAGGAGCTGGGCTGGCAGGCAGCCTGGCTCTGTTCCATCTCGCACCACAGATGGGGGCTGCAGCCACCTTGCGGTGCTGCCTTTGGTTTTTAAACTGGCTCCCCTTGAAGACCAGCTCCTGCCTAACACCTGCAAGGAATGGCAGGGGGTTCCTTGGAAGTGGAGCTGGAGCGCACTGGCTGCCGGCCCCGCCCCCAGGTGCTATAGAGCAGTCAACTGACCGTTAGAATTCATGAGGTTACTCGACTATTCAATTAACGGTTATTTAACATCCCTAATAAGGTAACATACAGGACTAAACCATTCCGCTCAACATGAGTTGGCCATGCGTCCACCTTTTCCCAAGGGACTGAGGAGAATTGTGAATTGTATGGGCTAAGACTAGCTACAATCTCTTGGGCTGGCTGCTGTACCTCCACTTCCACTCTGAACTGTAATACCTGAGTCAAGCCTCCACTTGCCACTCTTTTTTTACTGATGAAAATCAGAGCCAGTTTTGCAACTTTTCCAAGGATGGGTGAGAATTGCTGTTCTTCTCCTAGGAAGAAGGATTTGTCCTTCTCTTTTTATCCAGATATTTTCTCCTTCCTTTATTGTTGGCACCCATCATAGTACACTGGTATCTGTGTCTGCTCCACTCCTGCAGTGGCTTCATTTTAATGCTGCTGCCTGCATCGCTGAAAGGCACTAAATACACCTAACTGTGTGACTTCCTAATGAGAAATGAAGTTGCTTTAGATTATGCTGAAGCATGTTTAATTTGACAAGTTATTGTACATGAATCTTAAATGCAGCTGCAGTTTGTCTGTCCTGGAAGTGCTCCCCACCATCCCTCTCCTCTTGCCCTTGTTATTGGAAAGCCTCCAGCCTCTTCATCTGCAGCTGGCTCACTTATGGAGCGGGTTAATTTCCACACCATGCCTAGAGAACTGCTTTCCACACTCATGTTCTACGCGTTCCATTTCCTCACCATACTGTCTGGCCCTGACATACTGTAGAGGTGAGGAATCCCAGTCGGCCAACTTGTATTCCCCCTTTAGTCCCACAGCCCACTGGGGCTATCAGCTGGAGCTATGAATATGGCCGTGTACCTTCTGTGGTTCACCTCCCTCCCTGACACCTCTCTCTTTTGTGACATCAGGGAGGCCCTCAGACTACAGGGCTTATCCCTTCACCCTCCCACTTCATGTGAGGAGCAGAGAACAGAAACTAGCAAGACCTGAGGTCCAGAGGTACAAGTCATTTGATGTTTATGGGGGTTAGCTTCTAGCAAGTGTGAACCCACTTTACTTTCCTTTTTTCCCTGCTTTCCCCCTCCCTTCATATTTGTCCCATGTACATTTAGAAAGAGCAACCCTAACATATTGTAACATGATTATCTAACCAATTATATCCCACCACCTTAATTGGTTTACACCCAGCAAAATTAATCATCCAGGAGACAGAAACCAGTCAGAGAACCAGTCAGACCATGCAGATAAGCAATAGAGATGAGGAGTGGGTCATTGCCAGACAGAAAGCTATCAACTTAAATTTCTAGGCTCTTCCCTTTATCTGGAGGCCATAGATAACAGCCCCAATTGTTGGAATGTGTTATTTCAATATGAATGCTTTGGACTGGTTTGGAATGTGCCAAAACCCTTATCTTAAGAAAAAGGACTCCGACAGATAGGCTGGGTATCGATTCCTTGTTCTTAGAGAGTCATGCCTCTACAAGCAGGCCTGAATATCTATGTCCTAACACCTGGTGCACATTCAGATGCAGCATGCCAAGTTTCAGCCCTTTTTCTGGCTCCTCAAGAATATATGCACGCCCTATACATGGCCCTATGAAGTCACAAGATCACCTCCTCCAACCGTCTACGAGCACTGGCCAAAGTAGCCATCTATAAAAGCAAGAGGAGGATGCTGAGTGGGAAGCTGCTCTGTGATCTCCTTTTGATCACCTCTGGGCCACATCCGTCAGCTCCCTAGACACCTTTGAATAGCAGGTGCTGTCTGGGGTTCTCTGCTCAGTGTCCCCTTCTGGAGCCCTGATTTTGGCCCTGTGACTTTACTCCTGTCTTTTTTTTTTCATTTTTTGTCTTCCAAAATGTTGAGCCATGGGCTGAGTAGCTCCTCCACTAAGACTGTGGTAGGGACTCTACACAATAGGTGTTGTTGCCTAGCACTTGGTGTCACGCCCCTTCATCTTATTATAAAGGTCCTTGCACTGAATTAACCTATGCAGCAGTGTCTGATGCTCCTCTTTTTAGTCACATTCTAACTATGGTGACCATATTTTCGGAACCAAAACTAGGGACACATTAGCCATGTCCTCTGACCCCATTAGCTACGCCCCTTGCTACAAGAAATCCTGCCCCTGGAAGTAGTACTCCCATGATCAAGATGGACACAAGACCAGAAGTAAAAGGTGTCATGTGACTCCTCTAAGAACTCCTCCCACTGTCCTCTACCAATAGGGATGGGTTTGGCCCCCACAGGAACTATCCTGCAATTGTATTAACCCAATTTGCATTGCATTAACTTGGGGGGAGGAGCTAAGAGAAGTGTTCCCTCTAAGATTTTCCTCCCATGAGCAGAGTGAATTTTGTCTTGTGCACCAGTATTGAATTCATGTACACTTGTTTGAATGTGCCACTGTGGCACCCAGGTTAATAATAAATATCTTATAAATCTCTCCCTTTTCCCTCTGCTGCCATGTCTCCTACCCTGCCCTGCATTAACTTGGGGGGAGGAGCTAAGAGAAGTGTTCCCTCTAAGATTTTCCTCCCATGAGCAGAGTGAATTTTGTCTTGTGCACCAGTATTGAATTCATGTACACTTGTTTGAATGTGCCACTGTGGCACCCAGGTTAATAATAAATATCTTATAAATCTCTCCCTTTTCCCTCTGCTGCCATGTCTCCTACCCTGCCCCCCCTAAGTTATTAATAAATATCTTATAAACCTCTCCCTTTTCCCTCTGCTGCCATGTCTCCCACCCTCCCCTCACCCCATCTGCTCCTCTGGTGCTGCTGCCTCCCACCCCTCACCCTCCTCTGCTGTCCTGGCTCCTGCCCTTCTCACTCCCCTCAGTCCTTTGGGGACCTGCCTCCCTCCCCTGCACCAGCCTTTCTCTGCCCCCTGTGCTCACTCCTCCTCTAGCCCCCCACTGATCATGTGAGCTACCCCTCCCCATCCCCTTCCTAACACCTCCCTCTACCCACCTGCCCTGCCTCTCTCCTCTGGTGCCCGTCTCTCCCTTCCATGTGTCTGCCCTTCTACCTCTCCCCCATGGTCCCCTGGCACCTGCCACTTCCCTTTCACCTGCACCTTCCTGGTGCTTCCCTCATCTCCCACTGCCCTTGCCCTCTTTCTCCCTGGTGCCCACCCCCTCACCACCCTCTGCCCCAGTTCTCCTCACACGTGACTTGCTCCATCCCCAGCCTTCCTTATGCCCACCCCTCCTTTCAGCCCCTTCTCCTAGCACCCACTCCTCCCTTTTCTCCTTCCTCCTTCTTGCCCCCATTGTTCCACCCTCTCCCAGCATCACCCTGTCCCCTCCCTTCTCCCACCCTCTCTTGACACCTTCCCTCCTGTTCCCCCCTTCCACCCTTTTCCTCATTGTCTCCTCTTGCCCCCCTGGCATTTGTCTGCCCCTTGGTGACTTCCCCTTTTTTCTCCTGCCCTGCCCCCCCCTTTTCCCTCAGCACAAGCCTCTTCCTCTCCTCACCCACACCTTCCTCTTAGTTCTTCCTCTGCCCCTTCCCTCACCTTCTGCCTTCGGCATGGAAAGCAGTGTGTGGGGGTTGGAGCGGGGGCTGCGGTGCTATTTTTATTACTGCAGTCCATCCCCAGATGCTCCCATGTAGGGACCATGTACTGCGACTGGAGCAGATGCTGCCCGTGGTGCTGTTTTTAGTACCGTGGTCCCAGTCCCCACAGGCTGCCTAGCTCCAGCTGGTGAGGCTGCCTCAGCTGGAATGCACCTTGTACAGCTGCCATTTGACTCCAGGTGGAGCCGGGGCTGCCTGCGGGGACCCTGACTGTGGTACTAAAAATAGCATCCTGGGCAGCCTCCACTCAAGTCTCAGCACCAGCTGAGCCCAAGCATGCCCTACCCTGTAACACCCAAGCCTGGCTCTCTACAGCTCTTGCTGGGCTCCAAGGTGGCTGGGAGGAGGAGGAGGTAGTGCCACCAGACCAGGACCCCATGCAGCAGAGGTGGTTGCGCGGCCGTATGCCGCGCGCGGCCGGCCCGGCTCCCCAGTGGCAAAGCGTCAGTGGAGCTTCCTACGTGCCTTGCTGGGGAGGAGTGGGAGGAGGCTGTTGCGCTGCACAAGGAGCAATGGTGTGGCACCATTTCTTGGTCGTTTCTTCCCACAAGCTGGTGTCCCCATCGGGTAGTGAAATGTCCTGGAAAGCCCCGCTGGACATTTCTCTACAGCTGATCCCCGAGTAGCAAACGGTGGAGTTATGACTGTTCGCATTTACAACTAAAGCTCCCATGGAGCAGTTGTAAAGGCGGTCCCTGAGTTACGAACGCGACCTGCACTTACGAACAGCGCAGTCGTGTGTAACTCAGTGGGGCCTGAGTTATGAACAGATCGAGTTACGGCCAAGTGTTTGGTCCGTAACTCGTTCATAACTCGGAGAGAGGCTGTACTTGATGGGGCACCAGGACAGAGTATTTAAATTCAGGACTGTCCTGGTAAAATCGGGATATATGTCCTGCGTAATTAGAACTCATCAAAGCCTGAAGAGCATTTTTTCCTTTAACCTTGGTACAGGAGAGCATCAAGGTAGTTGTGTTTTTTTCCCTCCACAGTGTGAAGCGTTCTGACTACTTGAACACCTTTGAGTTCATGGAGAAGCTTGCTGAAAACTTGAGTCTGAAACTAGCCTCGCAGCCCAAACTGTAAGGTCAGACATCAAGGAAGACACTCCTGAGTAACTCGCCTCAGTTTGGTGACTGGCTTACACTGTGGTGTGTAACATTTCACAGTACTGGGAGAATCAACGATGTCACCCTTTTTAAATGAACCCTGTTTAAAAACTTATCTTTTAACCTATTAACTTCTGTGGTTGTAGGGGTCTATTTTACCAGCCATCTGAATGTGGTAGGATACCTACCAATATTCAGAGGACGCTAGGGCTTCCCCCTTCTTGATTTATCCCTCACTACTGCATAATTTTTCCCTTTTCTGCCTCACTTCAAAATCCAAAATCAGAAGATGGTACGTGAGTGGTTAAACCTAGTGTACAATAGACATGTAAAAACTGGAACAGTCCTCTCCTTTCCAGCAACATACACTGACTGTACCAGCCATACACTAAACTCCATTATTTCAGTAGTCTGTCTTATGAATGCATTACATCAACTTCTACATTCATGGGAACCAGAGCGCCATAGCTGGGTGGTGAAAGGTTATTTGAATCAGAGCTTTAGCAGAGAGAGATCACTTACTGCTGGAAGCTTGTTTCAGTTCTCTAGTAGAAAAGGCTACTCAGCCACTGGTGTGGCATGGGGGTGGAGAGGGAGCAGGCTGTATCCTTCATTAGACACCCTTCTTACTGTATGTGAGGCCTGTGAATTGTTATCTCCTAACAGTGCCCCTGTTTCAAAGCTGCTTTCTTCAGGCAGCTGAATGCTTCTTATTCAGTCTCTTAGAACATTATGACACTTCAGTGTTCAGCATTAAAGTTTAATTGTGAGACACTATTCCGGCCATGGGTCTTTTTTTTTCCTTGAAGGATATTTTGGTTCGGACTAGAATAAAACCAGAACTAACATCCTCTTGTCTCTTCTTTTGTGTGTGAGGGAAGAAAACCAAATTAATCAAAATAAATCTGTTTAACTGCATCTCTCCACAGCCTATCCACCCCATTAATGCTGAGGTAGATTTCATGAAGCAAGAGTTAAAGATATCATACTGAAGGGGTAAAATCACATAATTCATATTGAAAGGCTACTGCTTGCTAATAAGGTTGTGACGGGTTTTGGTGACAAACAACTCAAGACTGTCACTTGATGGAATGATCATCCTACTGAGCCCACCCACCTGTCTGCTCTCTGGGCACCCCACCAGCCTGTCCTGCTGAGCCAGCACCTCTGATCTCCCCCAGCAAAGGAACACAGTTGAAGTCCCAGCCAACAGCAAAACAGACAGAGCAGCTCAGCTCTGGGCAGGCTCAGTCACAGGGACTTGAAACAGCACTTGGATGTACAGCCCCAGTGGGACCAGAAATCTACTAATACTTCTAATAGTCTTTTCTCACAAGCGAGGCTGCCTCCTAGCTTGGTCATGATCCTTCCCCTTGTTTAGTCTTGTATGTTTCCAGCAGTCATCTTGGTGGTAAACAGGCGGTATCTTGGTGCCCATATTATTTGGTTTCCTTCCAATACATAGATTTTGCCCAAGGAGGGAATCCTTTGTGTTCAGTTTCAGCCCTTTCACACCCCCATGGAAAAGTGCTACATCTGAAATCTGTTCCAGCATCAGATGACCCAGCTGCTTGTCTTGGCAGGACCAGTCACAGTTCAGGCTTACAGAAAAAGCAAGATTAGTCACAGATCATTGTCATAAGTATCGGCCCATTAAATTCCTTACGTACCGCTAATGGCCTTCACCAGCAGTTTAGATATATAAACAGGTGTGTCTAGACAACAGGGTTTTGTCGACAAAAGTTGCCTTTTGTCGACAAAACTATACGTGCGTCTACACTACCGCCACGTTCTGTTGACAGTAAGTCGACAGAACGCAGCAGTTTTGGCGACGGCTGTAAACCTCCTTTTATGAGGCATAACGCCTTTGTTGACCTAGTTATGTTGACAAAAGGTAAGTGTGGATGTAGGGAGCGAGTTCTGTCCACAAAAAAGGCCTCCAGGAAGAAGCCCTGGTGGACAGTCCAGCTTTTACGGGTAGAGCACGTCTGTAGTTCCTGGTCGCAGCCTTTTAAAGGCACAGGCACCCAGACAAGCCTTGCTGTCCGGCAGCTAGCCAGAGTAGCGGTGCTAGCCCGGGCCCAGCTTCAAGGCCCCCCTGGCCCTTCTTGGGACAGAGACAAGGACCCACCCAGGGGCACCAATAGGCAGACACCAGCCTGCTCTGGCCCCGAAATAAAAAACCTGCTGGAGCTCTGGTCCCAGGAGGAAGCTCTGCAGGCCCTGCAAACACGCTGCAGGAATGTGGACATTTATGAGCACCTGGCCCAGGGACTGGTCACCACGGGGCATCATCCCTGCACCATAGCACAAGTCAGGGCCAACGTGCGCTTAGTGACGCAAGATGGAATGAAGGTGGACAGCCCTTGGTGGGTAAAGAACAGGTTAGGAACTATTTAGAAAAGCTAAACTTACATAAATCCATGGGTCCGGACTTAATACATCCAAGGGAGTTGGCAAATGTCATTGACGATTGGAAGAAATCCTGGATGATTGGAAAAAGGCAAATTTAGTGCCCATCTTCAAAAAAGGGAAGAAGGACAATCCAAAGAACTATAGGCCAGTCAGTCTTACCTCAGTTCCTGAAAAACTCATGGAAGGGATCCTTAAGGAATCTATTTTGAGGCACTTGGAAGAGAGGAAAGTGATCAGGAATAGTCAGCATGGATTCACAAAGGGCAAGTCATGCCTGACCAATCTGATTAGCTTCTATGATGAGGTAACTGGCTCTGTAGACATGGGAAAGTCAGTGGATGTGATATACCTTGACTTTAGCAAGGCTTTTGATACGGTCTCCCATAATATTCTTGCCAGCAAGTTAAGGAAATGTGGATTGGATAAATGGACGGGAAGATGGATAGAAAGATGGCTAAAAGGCCGGGTCCAGCGCGTAGTGATCATCGGTTTGATGTCAGGATGGCGGTCGGTTTCTAGGGAGTGCCCCAAGGTTCAGTTCTAGGACTGGTTTTGTTCAATATCTTTATTTAATGACCTGAATGAGGGGATGGATTGCACCCTCAGCAAGTTAGCAGATGACACTAAGCTAGGGGGAGAGGCAGATGTGCTTGAGGGTAAAGATAGGGTCCAGAGTGACTTAGACAAATTGGAGGATTGGGCCACAAAAAATCTGATGAGGTTCAACAAGGACAAGTGCAGAGTCCTCCACTTGGGATGGAAGAATCCCAAGCATTGTTACAGGCTGGGGACCAACCAGCTAAGTAGTAGTTCTGCAGAAAAGGACCAGGGGGTTACAGTGGATGAGAAGCTAGATATGAGTCAACAGTGTGCCCTTGTAGCCAAGAAGGCGAATGGCATATTACGTTGCATTAAGAAGAGCATTACCAGCAGTTCTAGAGATGTGATTATTCCCCTTTATTCAGCTCTGGTGAGGCCACATCTGGAGTATTGTGTCCATTTCTGGGCCCTTCACTACAAAAAGGATGTGGACGCATTGAAGAGGGTCCAGCGGAGGGCAACCAAAATGATTAGGGGGCTGGAGCACATGACCTATGAGGAGAGGCTGAGGGAGCTGGATCTGTTTAGTCTGCAGAAGTGAAAAGTGAGGGGGGATTTGATAGCAGCCTTCAACTTCCTGAAAGGAGGTTCCAAAGAAGATGGAGAAAGGCTGTTCTCAGTGGTGACAGATGGCAGAACAAGGAGCAATGGTCTCAAGTTGTGGTGGGAGAGGTCCAGGTTGGATATTAGGAAAAACTATTTCACTAGGGCTGTGTCTAGACTGGCAAGTTTTTCCGCAAAATCATCCGCTTTTGCGGAAAAACTTGACAGTTGTCTACACTGGCCACTTTAATTTTCGGGAAAGCCACGAACATCTCCT